GCTTGTATATAGTGCTTCGGCGAAAGCCGTAATACTTACGATTCATAGTAACGAATAACTACTCAACAACTACAAATATTTGTACTTTCAACATTGTTCGCAAAATCGTAAGTGAAATTATACTAATACATATTTTACTACACCTTAATAAGCATAACGCCTACCCTAAATGGCATAACTTGTGTCGTCAAGCCGCTGGTTTTAAATTTGAAGATAAGTGGAGGATATTATTTTAAGTGGTTTTTCTGTGAGACCTAACGATTTTAGTACCTGTTTTTTTTGTTTGAATTTCCTTAAATACAGGCCTTTACTCTAAGAACTGCTTGCTGCCATCTCGTTTGGAGTTTTGCTAGTCTATGCCCGTTGTTCACAAATCGCACTTTGCAATTCTCATTTTGTGCATCCGATTTCTCTCTAACTGTTGTAATTTATTTTTACATCGTTAGCCCCTAGCTGAAATTCAGTCAACTTGTCTGCCAGAAGTTTTCTTAATCAGTCATTCAGTCAGTCAGTGTATTTGAGGGAAATAGGCTTACGCCTTTGAACTCCCTATTTGTACATAAAAAATCGATAAACAAGCAAAAATGTGAAGAAATTGCAGCATTAAGTCAATGCATATATTGATTCACATATGTCACTAGTCACATGGTTAAAAAGTCACATAGTCCGCTTGTTGCTGCAGCATATATCTGTCAAGGCGACATTTAAATGTCTCCACAGATTGAGACATAACAACCGTCTCGGGCAGGTTATTCCACGGTTCCACGACACGGTTGGAGAAGAAATATTTTCTCACATTCAATCCACCCTGGGGCACACGTAGCTTGAAGGGATGTCCCCGGAGGTGAGTTGTAGTGGCGAGTTGGAAAAAGTCATCGCACCGAAGGGCACAATCCAAGCCGCGCACGATACGGAAAGTTTGTATCATGTCTCCGCGCAACTGCCTATAACTCAGAGGATAGAGATTAAGGATAGTTAAGCGGATCTCGTATGGCAGTGCACTTTGACCTCTTACTAATTTTGTGGCTCGCCTCTGCACCCTTTCGAGCAGATCGTAATCTTGGTGCGTCCACGGTCTCCAGGACTGAATTGCATATTGGAGATGGGGCCTTATAAACGTGCCGAAGACTTTGGTGAAGCATTCTTCATCGAAACCTACGAATGCCCGCTTGATGGCATGTTGTGTGAGGCACGCATTTAATGTTTTGCTCAACAGGCGGTAATCGAATGCCGATTTTGTACCTGAGGCTTGGAGGGTATTCCAGTTTGTTCCTGGTGCGTTGAAGTCGCCCATGATCATGACGTTAGGTCGACTGGAAAATTGCTCCAGTTGCTCTAATAGTTGAGTGTCGACGATTCGGTCTGTCCTTTGTGGTCGGTAGACAGTGAGGACATCGAGACACAGGGAACCGGTAGTCTTGATGGTCAGCCAGATAGCTTCCGTACTGCACGCAAACTTGGTGGTG